TGTGTGTGTGTGTGTGTGTGTGTTTGAGATATCCTGCCCTGCTTTCTCTGCATTGGACTAATGATACTGTGGCTTGTTTTTGTTTTGTTCATTCAACCTTATTACATAAGCAGTGACTGTAGCTACTCCAGGGGTTTTTTGAATTGGACAAGCAATCTGTTTGTGCCACTGCCACTGTGTGTGTTTGTGTGTGGTTTATGTGTGTGTAAGTGGCGTGGTACAGCACAGTTAGAGCTAATCACTTTCAGCGTTGAGGATCACAAGTTGACCTTTGGCTCTACATCCGTCCCAAATAACCCTTCACCCTTCGGTTCACATCCTAAGAAGATCCAGGGTCTTCCATCTATCCCTCAGTCCACTACACTCATGCACACACGCACGCACACATACAGTGCACAAACGCCTTAATCCTACTGTACAGTGAAAGTGCACAGCCCCCCTCCCTTCCCCCTTATTGTTGTGGCCTACTTTGGTCCTACTCATGCGTGCTTAACCCTTTATACAGCCCTGACTACCACCCCACACAAAGTCACGTGCTGCTGATGCTGTTACCACGGCTACAAGGGGAAGACTTATGATGGAAGCCCCCATTTCACCCTTCCCCAAAGCCCACCAGTAGCTCAGTGGGGGCAGAAAAACAGTGGCAGCCAATCCAGTGTTAAGATGGGAGCATAGAGAACCTTGGGGCATTGGGTCTCCTCCATGACCGCTGCTGACCGCTTCTGTGGCATCTGGGGGTTCGGGTGGTGGTGGAAGAGGGCGCAGCCTACGGCAGGGACCCCCGCCCAAGTACCAGACATAACACACTGGCCTTGCGTGTCTCTCTGATGCTATCATGCTGATTGGACGCGTCAGTGATGGCTGTTACGGCTGATTGCAACTTGTTTATTCCTGAAAAACCCATGAGCCCCATCCCATGCCGAAATCACGCTCACGTAATTAACCGGCAAAAGGTGAATTAAAGTCATGAATAAATAAATCGAGCACAAAAAAAAAAACAAGAGCGCTTAAGACTGATCAGCGATGAGGAAAAACGCGTACCCGGAATGAAATAACGAGACATTATCAGCAACCGCGTGAACGGCTTTGATCACAAACAGCAGGAGGGCTTTTTTTGGCATCTGCATTTTTTTGTATGTGTGTGTGTGCTGAAGATGAAAAACAATTGATAATGGTAATTCATTTAACAACAACAACACAACAGAGGCATCAGTCTAAGAAGAAACATTCCTCTCGAATTGTCTCTCCGGATATATAAAAGTGTCAAACCACAGCATGCCAAGAATGCTGTTTCTCCTTTTCTTGGGTCTTCCAGTTGTTCACAGTGTTGTTGTTGTTGTTGTTTTTGTTGTTGTGGGTTTTCAACCCTTCCCCCCACACCCTTGTGTAGCGTGCCCCTTCCGCTACACATCTACACAGGCATGCATGTACACCGCCCTTCCCCAGATGCCTCGGGAGAGATTTTCTTCAATGGAAACCGTGAGCCGAACTCAAGCGTGGGGAGGTTACACGAGAGATCTGCTCGCGACTGTATACGAGGAGTGAGCTGTATGTCAGGCGGAGACAGGCAGGTGAGAGAGAGGAGGGTGAGGCAGGTTTTGATGTGCGGCAGACGCAGAGGTGAGCCCTCAGCTAGAGTTGTATGTCGACGCCAGGCGAGACAGAGGGTTGAAAGAGTGAATGAACACAGGCCCGGCGCGTCGCTGGGTGGAGGAGGAGAGGAAAGGGGTTGCCCTGACACAACGTGTGGAGCTGCCGCTACTACATCAGGCACTCATGTGCAAGAATCGAGTGGTTTCTACCCAGCAACTCGCCCTCTTACCCCCACCCCACCTCCAATCACACTGACACACACTCTCACTCACTCACACTATGACCTCCCGCTCCTTGCCAGAAGACAGCTCTCGCCAAATGGCAGCTCATGGTGCGATGCAAGCACCAGACAGGCACGTGTGTGTGCGCAGGCATGTGTGTGTGTTTTTAAGACATGAGGGGGTGACAGAGGGAGGTAGAAAGGGGCGAGGGGGACTTGTTTTTGGCGTGTTCATACACTGTGAGCTAATGAGCAGTGACGCAAAGAGAAGGTGCATATGCGCACACTCGGCAGAGCATCGGCACGTGACGTCGCGCGAGGGCGACAGCTCCTCGAGTAACAGACACGGCGTGTTTGGATGGGCGGTGGAGTCAAGCTGCGCTCAGATTGAAGATTTCACCAGCAGGACTCCGCAGACTTGCTTTGCACTGTGACCCAGTGAGAAACAAGGCCAGTGTGTTACTGGGTCTCACACATGCAGACACACACCTTCAAGCACGCACACACTGAGGGAAAACAGGCAGCAAGAAACGGGTCGTGTGAGCAAAAACGTACATGCGAAGAGGAGCATTCGCAGGAGATGTGACTCATGCGTACTGCGCAGTTCATTTGCTGTCGTTATGATCGCATTACAGACACATGGAGATTGATGCTGCTTACTCCTACATTATAACTGTACACTTAACACACAGAGCTGAGGTCAGTGGTTGAAGGGATGGGGAGATCTTGGCTGTAAATTACCCTCACATTTCAGCATCCCTACTTCTGTGTGTGTGTTTGTGTGTGCGTACAGGCAGCCAGGCAACTGATCCACGGGTGTTTTGATGTAGCGGTGTGTGTGGGAGTCGACACAAGGGGTTGAATGCCTGCTTTTAACGCGTGGGGGGGAAGACTCATACATTTTTTTTTGTCAACATCTCAACTGTCAACTGTGACATGAATGTATTGGTGCCAGGTAAATCAATAGGAAGATATATGCATCATTGCACTCAGCTATATATGTAAGCACTTTTTTTAAATGTGAGGCTTTGGCAGGAAATGAGAGAAAACGGGATATAAAGAATCTCTCACAAAATGGGGAATACAAATAGAGATATGGTATACGTCTCCTGGGTTTTCCTCCCTCTGTCTCTATGCTGATTAGGGTCAGCTCTCTGCCATTACCAAATGTAGACACCGGGAGGGGGGGTCAGAGCAGCACAGTCGACCCCTCAGCTTTTCATAGGGCCGCCTGATAATAAGAACCGGTGCCTCCGAGGAATGCTGCCGAAGGAATGTTCCACTAACGCGTCTGTGCTCCTAAACGCCGCCTCTACGAATATGAATCTGGTTATCAAACGCAGCCCTGGCAGCTCCCTGAGACAGTGCAGTGCTTGCCTGGATGCGGCGCCGCTTTCTCAGGTTTGAAATCCACCAGATGCCTCCTCCCGTGAGCCTCTTCAACCTGACCTCCCAGCTTTCCAGTGGAGTCAACGATGGGAAAAATGCTTCTAGCTTAGGCTTGTTTTTCCTTGCTGGTAGTGACCGGCCAGGCGCATTTGTCTGGGAAAGGAAACTGAAGTGAAATGCGTCTTTAAATGAATTTACCTTCAACGAGTCATTTCAGCAGGAGAGAAGTAGCAAAAAGAAAAAAAACACACAATGTCCAGTTTAAGTGCGCTTTAGTTCTAGAGGAAGAGCTGCGATTTGTCCCACGTATCTTAGCAGCGTTGCCACGTGAGGATGTGTGTGTGTCCGGTGAGCATGAAAATAGAAATGCATAAAGATGTACGACTGAACGGAGCCTGCATTGTAAAGATAGAACTATTTAAAGGGTGAGCGAACTCAGGCTCGGAAAATAAACACAGCTTATGAATGAGGCAGCGCGTGTGACATTTGTGTGAAGACCTGTCTATTTGCCGTGTGTGTGCGTGTGTGTGTGCTGGATTGTCAGCTCTCTCCCGCCTCATTGATGTGCCGGTCCATAAACACTCGGCCGTGACTCAGGCTCCCCAGTGGACCGCGGAGCAGTGGCTGATGGGTAGATGATCTGAGCCACACAGCTGCTGCCGCTCAAGGTGAGCCGCCCAGGGCGCATAAATCTGCATAGCTAATGAGGAGCCGCCGCAAAGGGCCCACTTAGAACCATTACACAACTTTTGTGGTATGCATGAGCGAGGTGTGCGAGAGAAAGTGAAAGACACGCGCACACACAGAGTGCAAATGAGACCCAAAAAAGGGTAGAAATTTTAAATATATGCTCTAAAGCAGGGGTCCGTCTTTAAAGGTGGAATTTTTTAAGGGCTCAAGTAAAGGCTGGGTTTTGCAGTGCACTGTCATTGTTTGAGAGCACAGACGTGGTATGAATTTAAGGGGATCGTGCACAAAAAAAGAGCTCTAAGCCTGCTTGCGTTGCATGATGCAAAATTAGAAATGCCCAGTTGAGCATTTGCTCGCTCTGTTGGGTTTTTTCCCTCCTCCATCTACAGCCACGAGTCGTGCACGTTCGTGTCCTTTCACCACCGCAGCTACTGTAAAATCCCAGCGGGGCTGTCAGTGACGAATGAGCTTCTGAAACACCTTCTGCAAGTCAGATGAGATACCGCCACGTGATCGATTGCTCCTGCTCGTAACGCGACCATTATGGGTTTTTGTTTTTGTTTTTCACTCCCGACTCTAAATATCCTGTTATCCTTGTGTGTCTGCTTAGGCTCGGAATTCTGCTTCCGCAATTTCACCAGCCCTACCGGCATGATCGAGTCCCCGGGGTTCCCGGATAAATACCCTCACAATCTGGAATGCTCCTACATGATCATTGCCCCGCCCCACATGGACATCACGCTCACCTTCCTGACCTTCGATCTCGAGAACGACCCCCTGCTGGTCGGAGAGGGTGACTGCAAGTACGACTGGCTGGACGTGTGGGACGGTCTGCCACAAGGTGAGCGCACAGACACACACAGAGACACACAAACAGATGTCGGAATTTCTCAGCGTGAGCGTAGACACACTGGAAAGACACCCTGTCCTCACCTTTTAACGTGCGTGGACAGCCTCATTTCCACATGCACATTCCTACACTGAAATCTGCATAGCAGCCTTCAATTTCCTGTGCAGGCATCCCTCTCTTTGATGTAAGCTCTTACCGTACAGTCCATCCCATTACATGGGAGGGGGGGGGGACTGGACACCCCTGAGGAGCAATCTGTTCCCATGGTTCTCTTCCCTCTCCATAATAACAGCCCGTTCCTAACCCCCCTCGTACTTTCCTCCCTGTCCTCCATCCTTATCACCTAGCACTTCCTTCCTCCCCAGGGTGAGCGAGAGTGACGGCCACGATGAGTATCTGCTTGTATGCAAAGAGCCGAGATCAGAAAGTGGGAATGGGAGGGGTTTGGGGGAGAAAAACATTTGAGGATGTTATCAAGGGGCTTTGATAGTGACCGCCATAGGGTAATGCTAGTTGCTCTGTAGCTGATGAAAGCCACATTAGTAGTGGTGAGTGGTTCATTTCTCACCTCTTTGCCGAGTTCCTTTTCTTCTCTCTCTCTTTTTCCTTTTCTTTTTGAAAATATGAAGCAGGGTGGGGGGGGGGGAACCAAGGATTTGCTCTAATTATTCCATTTTCAGTCGCTAAGAAGGGATCCAAGTGGATTTAAAATTCCAATTATAGCCTTGAATTTAGGAGCTTTGATAGCTGAAAACAATTTATACCATTCAAAGTTGAGAATTAGGAGCAAATTAAAGTGTAACCCAGTTCCAGTGAGCCTGAGTTTCCTTGGGCGTGAAAGAGGGACGGGAGACGAGGCGGAAGGGTGAAGAATTTTTGTGTCTGGAGACCGTTGTAATCCTTAATGTTTGTGAGTGCGTGCGCGCATGTGTGTGTCTATGCGTGTGTGAGTGCTCGTCTGCAGCTGATCCCAGTGCAGCTTGCATTAAAGCAAGGGATTCCATTCCCTCTCCTGCTGGGTTCTGGCTGAGACACACACATGGCAGATGGAGGGATGGACAGGAGAGTTAAGGGAGAGAGGAATGAATGGAGGAAGGGGAGATGGAGGAGAGGCATGCTGTGAGTCATTAGACAACACTTACCGAAGCAGCATGACCACTGGAAACCTGTCTTTGCAGTGCTGGATTTCCTTTTTTTTTAATCTTATAGGAATTATCACATGTGCGTGCTTTTTCTGATTTTTCTTCCTTCCTTGAATGTAGCATCATACAGAAAAAGCAGTAAATGTTGAGTTTTTCAAAATAACAGCACGAATGTTTCTTTTAAAATCATTTCTTTGCAATATGACTGTATAAACATGCATTTCGTGTGTGTGCAGTGGCTCCTCTGATTGGCCGGTACTGCGGGACAAAGATCCCCCCAGAGATCCAATCGTCCTCCGGCCTGCTGTCCCTCTCCTTCCACACCGACATGGCTGTCGCCAAAGACGGCTTCTCCGCCCGCTACAACATGACACAAAAAGAAGTCTCCGACTGTGAGTGCACCATCACTTTAAGAGCGCACGTGTGCGTGCATTTGTGTGTACAGAGTGTAGGTTTGCTTACCTGCTTTTATTCCCAACTCGATTTTCTCTCTTTCACCGCTTTCGTCTCTGTCATCTCTGCTGACACTCGTCTTTCTCTCTTCATCTTTTTTCTTTTTCCTCCTCTCCTCTTACCCTCTCGATCTCTTCAGCCGTGCCTGCTTTAATGCTATTTCAATCTCGGAGCGCTCCCTCGCCCCTCTCAGCCTATTTTGCGCTCTCCTAAGAGAGCATGATTTCTCAGAAGCGGGCTCATACTATTTTCTTTTAGAATATAAATTAACTCAACCTCAATTTAACTTCACTCACCTGTTGGGCTGCTTTCTGCCTCTCATTGTCTTTTCTCTTTGTGTCTGCCTGAGTTTAACTTCACGCCTCTTGTTTTTTCGAGCTCTGTGCCCCTCATGCCTTCTCTTTCATGTCTGCTAAACCGTTATATTCAGTTATATTCAATGCAAACATAGCTGACGTTGCTCCCTCTTCTCCCGTCAGCATTTCACTGCAGCATGGCGCTGGGCATGGAGTCGGGGAAGATCAGCGACGACCAAATCACGGCCTCGACGTCCTTTTACGACAATCGCTGGCTGCCGCGCCAGGCTCGCCTCAACAACGACGACAACGCTTGGACGCCGGCAGAGGACAGCAACAAGGAATACATACAGGTATCACTCCGCGAGGTTCAAGCAGGCCTACGCTGTCGAGATCATTCGATGTCAGCGGCAGCTCGCAGCAGCTGACGGATCAGCTGGTACCCTTTCATGCATTCAGTCGGCAAATGTCAACTATTTAAGTCGCTTTAGCCCACCTGCAGTTGTTTCGTACCCCAGAAAGAAGTCGTGCTGCTTCTTTCTTTGCCTTAGGCTTTCCATGAATGTACGTGGAAGGGGCAGAGAGGTTCCATAACAGAGCCGTGCCACCAAATATAAATAACCGCGCATTTGAGCTGTCTCGAGGGCCCGGGTGTTTAAGAAACTTTTAAATGCAGTTGGTTTGCTCTGGTAGAAATCTGAAGGCGAATATTTGATTTAAGGCACAAAGTCTACAGCGGGTCGACACTGATATCTGAATCAGCGATGCGTTAACTCGCTGGTGACAGTAAATTTGTCTCGGTGATACTTGCGGAAGAAGGCTCGGCGAAGAAGGCTCTCACGTACAGTGGGGGACACACAGAGGTGCTCACACATAAAGGGAATGGAGGAACTGTGAACCGATGATAAGGAAGTGCTTCCACACTCTCCATCTTTCCTGTCTCGAACGCGTGCATAGGCAGAGCGCGGAGGAGAGCGGCAAGAAGGCCGTGATTGATGAAGGTGCTCTTCAGGAATGCATCCGAACACTGTGCCATTGATCTTTGCCTCCAACCATTCCTCCCCTTACACACATCACAATGTACACACACACACACACACACACTCATAGATACCACCTAGGCTTCTTCAGTAGAAGGCCACAATCTGCTGCTGCTGCTGTGTGAGCAATAGACTTGCAGCTGCTCGGCTATCTGCATCAGCCCGGAGCACATCAATCCTGCAGTCTACGGAGCTTTCTCTGCCGCTATTCTATTTTATTTCAGTTCATGAAAACAAGTTTTATACATTTTCCCCCTTTTTTTCCAGGTGGATCTTCATTTCCTCAAGGTTTTGACCGGTATTGCCACACAGGGTGCCATATCCAAGGAAACGCAGAAGTCCTACTACGTCACAACCTTCAAGCTGGAGGTCAGCACCAACGGAGAGGACTGGATGGTGTACCGCCATGGCAAGAACCACAAGGTAGAGCATTAAACGTGTTTATAAGTAAAAACGAAGCCTGAAATGGTCCAACGGGCAAGCTCGCTTTAAAGTGAAGCCGAGCATCCACGCTGAACGCCGTATTTACACCTCCGAGATGTTCTCAAACAACTAAGGGTGTTGTGTTCGCTCGAGAGCCATATCAATGGCATCAGCGGACGCTAAATTCCTGAAGGAGTCTTTCCCCTTCTAAGACTGTTTATGAACCCGAGTCATGACCTCAGTCATGAGTTGGAGAGAAAGGGAACGGGAGGGAGGAAGAGATAGAGAGAGGAGGGGAACCTGACAAACAAGAATAATGGAGTCCTCTGTGTGCCCTTATCTGGGACCGCTATTTATCATCTTTCTCAGCCTAACTCACACACACACACCTGGGGGTTGTGAAACCCTCTGGAGGCCGGCCAGGTGTGGACTGAGCAAATTTGCGCCTTGAGAGATTCGCAGCATTACTCTCCGAAATCGCTCCCATTTAGTGCTTCGATCGAGCCTCGTTAAATCTGCGTTTGATTGCCTGCTCGTTGTTACTTATATACACACAATGGCAGGTTGTTGCCATGCCGTGACCTGCAGACAGCCTGTTTCCAGGGCATTTAAACCTTGTCCCTCACATCTGGTTTAAGGTCACTGTGGATTTCAAACAAAAAAATAGAGAGTGGCAAGAGTGGGCGTGTGTGTAAAGAGGGGTTAATCCACACTACCCGCACAGACTGGGATTCCCCACCCCCCCTCATCCTTCTGTGTGTGCCAGTGATTGGTTTGGGTGGGGCCAGTGGGGGGTATTTGATGTAGAGATTATTAAACAAAATGTGGATTTGACACAAAAGTCAACATCTGTGCAATTTATTAGAACCCCCAGAAACACACACACACACACAATTGAGAGGACCCCCTCCCTTTCTTTAAATAACCTCTGGCTGATCTCTCTGTCTGGAGATCTGTGAGTGTGAGCGCATACGTATATGATGTGTGCCTGTCTGCGGCGTGTAATCTGAGTCCGGTAATCCGTCTGAGCAAAAACTGCTCGGACACTTTGAGACACGGAATCAGACAGATGCTTAGGCATGCATTTTGCATTCGGGAGAGAGATATTAGTGGCGCTACGCTGCTTTGAAAACAGCGTTTTGTTAGCTTTTAGAAAACCGTAAAGGCGGTAGGAGGATTGAAGATCTGTGAAAGATAGAACAAAATCTGAAAAATGTACGTTTTCTAAAGAAAATGGTGAAAACCCGACAAACAAAAGTCTGAGGAAGCAAAGTCAGGGAATAATGCCTGCTGCTTTTTCTAATTGGACACTACTTAATCTACATAAAATGCAGAATTGATTAAGCATACCATCTGCTTCTGATGATAAAGAAATACGACAGCTACAGCATTTACTGCATGCATGATAGGGCTCTAAATTCAAACTCTACAAGGATTTATTGCACACTCTCCCTCCTCTTATGTATAATAAAGAGGCATCTCAGATTGCGTTACATAAAACCTGCTCTTTGTGTATTTGCCGACCACAGAGAGAGCCGTCTAGGAGAGTTTGCAGCCACGGTTTTTACCTCGGACTTCGTGATGGTGAAGCCAAAGAATTCGCTTTACTCTTCGTGACCCTCGTCAGACAGGTTCCCTTCTGTTCTCCAAAGGCTGCAGTTGAATCTTTCCGTGACTGCTAATCCACCACTGGTGTTTTACAAACTCCCGGTTAGCCTGTCCTAAGCCCCCCAAAGAGCCCTTAAGTGGTTGAAGCTCAGTTCTCGTCAGGGGTCCTGTAATGACTGGGATTTGGTTCTTCTAATTGTCATTTAGCAGTGAGCTTGAAGCTCGTGCAGCTTTGGACAGGAGCGTGTAGACGTGTCATTAGTGTGTGTGTGTGTGTGTGCGTAAGGTTGAGGCACGAGTGTGCCTGTGCATCACGTATGAATCACCCGTGAAAGAAAGGGCCAGCTTGGTGGTTCTTACCTCCCCGTGTTTGTTAATGGAAGACAGCTCTCTGACACGATGCGTCACTTTTTTGATGTGTTAACAAAGGATGAAGGGCTGAATGCTCCTAAGAAGAAAAGGGAAAGTAATGTGGGAAATTAGAGCGATGCAGAAAGGTGTAAAACACACCAGCGCTGCACATTAATCACCTCAATCACACCACCAGGTGTGGGCGTTTCTGTCAATTTTATTAATTTTTTTCCCAAATATTCTGCATGCCATCGCATTTTCAATTCGACACCCATGTGACTTGTTAATTCTAAGTCACATTTCTCACATATGCGCCTCATTACTTGATGAGATGCGAAGACACTCAGGAATTGCATATTTCGCACACTTACACGTAGACGCGAGCTTCGCAACGACTTTTTTCTTCTGTTTTGTTTTGTTTAAATAGACGCGCACGCTACCGCGCCCAAACTAATTAACATTTAAAACACACGCTGTCACCTGTCTGTGAAGAAAATCCCAGGCGTCCCAGTGCTAAGCAAGCTTTGTGCTGCTGAAAGGCACTGTATGTGCTAAATCAGTCTAACGCTGACACACACATAGTAACATGGAGGAGAGGGGGTGAAAAGTCAGCCTTCAGCTTTCCTTCCTGCACCTCCATCACACTGTAGAGTAGAAGAGAATAGAATAGCCTTTTATTACCTTTGTAGCTCTCAGGCTAGCGGTGGACATATCGATCGATCAGGTGGTATCGCTAATACTGGCCCTGTATTCACTTGGTATGCGATCGATGCCCACATTTGTAGTATCCCACAGCACTAGCTCGGGCACAAACACACAGGCTTTGTTTTCCGCTTATTCTACATGCTGATGCGTATTAAAAACAGCGTGTGCGTGTGCCGACACACAGCGAGACACAATCGGTTACATCGGCACCAAGCAGGAGGCTTTGACCAGAGGTGGTGTTAGGGTCACGACGTCAACCTTTGCACGCGCGCACACACTCGCCTCAGCCTCTCTTAGAGCTAGTTGTAGAGAGCGGCCAGCTGGAACCAGTTTCTACTGTCAACATCTTCATAGTGAGAGACAGGGGAAGAGAGCCAGGGGGGATGAAAAGTGTAATGGACGGAGAAAGAGGCTTGGATCAGGAGAACAACATGGGAGTGAAGAAAGAAAAAAAAATGGCTGGAAAACAAATAATGGCTTGTGCAGAGAGCTTGCCACATCTCCCCCTGGTGCCATCATGTTGCAGAAAAACACTGACAGAGGAAGGAGATGTGTGCCAAAACAGCGCAGAATGGATGGTAAATGAATCAAGCTATGATGTGTACATCCATCCGCACCTCACTTTCCAGGAACAAGCGCTCTAACAAGATCCAGCGAACCTTTGCCTGCTTTAAGATTGCACATTACATTTCCGTGCTCTGTTTGCTTAGAAATGTCAGGAGGATGTTTACTATAATACAAACACGCCCATCGCGGTGACCTGGTTCTCTGCAAAAGTCATCAATAGTTAAACACCCGTGGTGCCTGGGTTCTGCCGATGTCCGCGAAAAAGAGGCCTGACCGTCACATGTTGCTATGCGAGCGCGTAATGGGGTCTTCGTTATATTTTAATGACTCTCGGCTCACTTGGAGACACAACATGACAGCATCAATTATTCAGCCCACCTCGAAAGCACGCTCATGTGAGGGGAGGGACCCGTATAGACACACACATTAAAAAATAAAACCCCAAAATTCCAGTTGTTAGGCAGATTGGAGGTGGCCCAGACACCAACCACACTGACCGCCCTTCCTGTTGCTACAACTTCCTTTATTTCAAGTTGGCGAAAAAGTAACCAGGTTACCAACGAGTTAGTCAATGAACAACCATCTGCTTCCCATGGCCGTTGACCTTTAACCTTAGAAGTAATGGGTGAGGAGTGGGAGACCACTCAGGTATCCTGACAATAGAGTGGAGGAAGTCGTGAGAACCGAGGACACTAAAGACCAAACCGGCAACTCTTCCCTGCCCTTGTCTTTCTGTGCTCTTTCTTCTAAGTTTGCTCTCTCTCCACTCACATCCATAATAATTTGCTTTTTAAAAGGAAAATAAAAAGAGCCTCTGGAGATGATTCGTACTGAGAAAATTATTCTTTTTGTGTCAGTAATGTTGGCCACATTCCCAGGTTTTATCCAAAGATGAGTAGGAAAGAAAAGCAGCTGGCAGTGTTGCAGTGCATTGACTGATGGCCTTTTAGCAACGTTGGGCATTTTGAAACATTTCTGGGAAGCTGAAGCCCACAGATATTTTACAGTCATTCCTCAGTCTACCCACTTCTATTGACCGAAACGCACTGCTGTTTTATTTACGTGGCATTTATTAAAGTAAACTTTGTGCCAAAGTTGGAACTTCACACAAAAAATAGTGTTCGTTAGGTTTTTTTGTGTTGTTTTTTTTTTGCTTGGTTTTGCATTTCCAGCTTCTTCCCAAATGAGGAAATTCCACTGAATTTTCTCATTTTGGCTTATTATGTGATAAATGCTTGGATGAAGTATTTCCTGTTACAGTCAATCTGCTCGTTGTTCTTTTCCTCCCTGCTCGTCACCACTCCCTTCATATTCCTAAGTTATGTCCTCTGCCCTCCATTCAACCTTTTTCTGTCTGCCGCTCCCTTCTCCCGCACACCCTCGCCTTTTCTGTCATTAACCATCCTTCTGAGGACGCGCTTCCTTTCCCCCGCAGTCATTTTCGGTTTTACTACCTCACGTGCTGCTCTTTGTCTCACATACTCGGCATCTGGGAGTGGGAATGATGGGGCGGTTGTATTGCAAGGCCTGCCCTCCATCGTGGACGCGCACTGGTGTTTACATAACCCCCATAACCACATCCCCTGTTTTGCCTCTTAGGTAAACATAACAGCTGTCTATCCTCGATCCAGCAGCAGATAGAGCAGCGATAGGCCCGCTTATCTGTTCAAACACTCACAGCGCTTTGTATTATCAGTGTGAGCTCCACTTGATTTAATCAGGCCATGCCCAAAATCAAATAAAACCCCCCGAGAAGGATTTTAGAAATGATATCACTCGTATTCCCATCGGTTATGGAATTTCTGGAATATCATTTTTTAGAGTTAGGGGAATTTTGTAAATGGGTCAAACAGAAAGCAGACTTTAATGATTTTAAAAAAAATATTATCAAAAAATCAAATTTTTAAGGCTGTGGTAGAGTGCTGAGGTTTGATCTCAATTAAAGTAAAAGAAAACTCGTGTAGGGACCTTTTTTTTAGGCATGATGCCTTTTAATCTTTAATTCAGCCGCTTGTAGCAGTTGTCTTCCCATCTCTCCATTGTGTGCGGCAGCTGTGATGCGGCGTTCCTATCAGCTGGCACGGTCAACCGCAAACAGAGAGTGAGTGACACTTAACAGTCACTCAGTTAAAAGACGCTCACCCTGCTTATCTGGGTGCGTGGGATGTGACCGTGTTTGTGTGGGCTCCTGTGGTTTCCTGCGTCTGGGTGTGCGGTTACAGTGAGTAGCCGCCAACAAGAGGAAGAAAGGCATACGGGAGGTGTGAGGAGACATCAACAGTGCGGTCTGGACGAGGAGATTTATGTAGAAAATGGAGGTTTTTGAGATGAAGGGATTCAGAGCGATGTGGGCTCGAGAGTGGAGGGAAGAGGATGCGGGGAAGGAAAGAGGAGGAAGTCACAATTGAGTGTTCCCATCCGATTCTCTCGAGCATCACAGGCGATTGCACGCTTTTCTGCCCACAAGAGGAAGTAACTTGACCACCGCGGTTACATTTGCCCTCTGACCCCTCCACCCTCGCTGCCCCACCCCGCTGCCTTACGGGAGGAAAGGAGCGGTTCAGGGAGAAGTGAATGTTGATGCTGTGGAAGCGTCAGGAAGTGAATTTCACTCGCATCCTGCCCACCTGGACAGACTTCCTGCCTCCGGCGGCTAATCATGTTCTGTCGTGTCAGGTCAACTCTCCCACAGCTTCCTATGACCACCAGTGCAGAGGTGTGTGGAAGTCGATAGATGTCGATAGGGTGTGTGTGTGTGTTTGAGGAAATCTCATCCTTCGATGGGCTTTCCCAGCCTCCCGGTGCTGAACCTTCGACCCTAAAACACATCGACAGCTGCGCTGGTGACACTGGATCCGTGTTTGGGTTGTCTCTGCTTTGTCCGGCCTGCCACTGTGTGTGTGTATGTGTGTGTGTGTGTGTGTGAAGCCAAGCGAAACTGTGCACTGTGGGTGGGTGTTCAAACAAGAGTGTGTGTGTGTCTAACTGAGAAAGAGAAATAAGACAGCACAGCTAAGTTACAGCACATCTCCTCCTGATGGTAACCAACCCTTTTTTGCTTGTCCTCTGTTTGCCTTTGGTGTCCAGATTTTCCACGCTAACACAGATCCGGCCGAAGTGGTTCTCAACCGCGTCCCGCAGCCGGTCTTGGCCCGGTTCGTTCGGATCCGACCACAGACCTGGAAGAACGGCATCGCCCTTCGTTTCGAGCTCTACGGATGCCAGATTACAGGTGCGTTCGTGTGCGTGTGTGCGTGTCACGAAGCAGTCAAGTTGCCAGAATCATCCCGCTTTGCATTCATGGCTTGAACAGAACTTTTCGTGGGTTTAAATCAGTAATCATGCACCAGCTCTATCCTCTCGGTTCAACCAACACAAAGCACTGTTTTAAAATCTAACTTGTTCTAAAAAAAAGAAAAGAAAGAAAAACCCATCAGCTTTAACGACATTTAACTTCCTAAACCTTAAAGGGCCGGATCAAACACACACACGCATTCAGACATAAATGTGTATTTATACTCTCTCCCACAATCCCTCTTGCTGTGTTTTAAACATGGCAACCCTCGGGCTAATTAAAGGAAGCTTCTGCTTCTATTCTTTCTTCCAGAGGCACCACCAGTGTCATTTTCTTCTTTCAGTGCTCTCCCACTCCTTCTTCCCCTCTGCTCGCTTTTCTGTCTCTGACTCCCTCAACGCTGCCACCCCCCCACCGCCACCACATCCCATTTTTCCTCTCATGGTTTTGGAGACTTTTTTTTTTTTGATGTGCCGTCTTTGCTCCGTGAGCTCCTCTAGATTGAGAAACGAGTACCGATCAATCATTCATGGCTCCCCGTTCACTCTTACATCAGAAACTGTGATTCGCCTCAGCCTCAACAGCTGCTATTGGAATAACTATTAGCTCTTACAGTACAGGTGCTTCAGCACACAGGCGCTTTCTAAATATAGCGCGTGACCTCAAAAAAAAAGCAGGCACACCTCTTGGAATATACACAGACCCTTCCCACACGTACGCACAGTCACACGTTTTCCGTCTCCTGCGCTTTTTATTCATTATTTACATCTCCTGCATTTGCGGTGACATAACAGCATGAAACTTTGATCTGTGTTCTCTTAAACCGTCAGCACTACTAACATCTCCCCACATCTCTTCCCCTCCGTCTCTCTCGACGCCCTCCGCGCTCATCCAGCGCCGCTCGTCTCTCACTCCGCCTACCTCCGTCCTTCCCCCTCTCCCACTGTTTGTCTCTGCAGGCGACTCATCTCTGCGTTTCTCTCTCCTTTTCCCAGCCTCCCCAAGCCGTCATCTCCCGCTCCAAGTCTCCTTCTCTGCTTTTATTTTCACCCCCGTCACCACTCTTTCTTTCCACTCTCTACTTCTCTGTCTCCCCGCTCCTTGTATCATACCTTATTTTTATCCCCTTAATCCTCATTTCTCTCTCACACATACTCCCTCAGCAAGTTATTTTCACTTCTACTCACCCATCCGTATCTGAATGAGTTTCATTTCCGAGCGCTTTGACGTGTACATAAAACTTTCTCTCAGTCGGCGAATGTACATAAAATGTGTGCCGCATAATGAGCAGACGAGCTATTGTACAGAATATAAAGAAACAATGCACCGAACAGCATTATATGGCGCTCAGGGTATTTTTTTGTTAGATGTGAGATGTGAGAAGCGTGCATGCAAAGCAGACAAGTGTGCCCATTCAGCAGCAGACTTAACATATGCTTTTATCTCACTAATGGCAGCCTAATTGCATATTGAACATGAAGCGGTAGCGCTTTGTTACACATCTTATTTTTCTCTTCCCTCCATTCTCTTGTCTCTCACCTCATCTTTTCCTGTTTGTTCCAGTCTAAACTCTTAATGCTCAGTGGCCAGCAGTGTGATCCTGCGGCGAAGCCTAACAGCTCCCCGGTGGGAAAATGTGTACCAGCACAGCGTTAGGCGGTCTCTTCTTCCAAGGAAACTAAAGAAGTCTCTAACCCTCTCTGCCTTTCCCCTCCAGATGCTCCATGTTCAGACCTGCAGGGGCTGATGTCCGGCCTGCTCCCCGATGCCCAGATCTCAACCTCATCCAGCAGGGACGTGGTGTGGAATCCCGGGAGCACCCGTCTCGTGGCCAGCCGCTCCGGCTGGTTCCCTGCTCCTGCGCAGCCACTGGCTGGAGAGGAGTGGCTGCAGGTAGACTTTGCATTTATTGTGCATTACTTTAAAGCAATGATGTTAGCATACACCTTTACCTTCTAGTTAAGTTAAAACGCAGTCACAGAGCACAGCTGCCATAAAAACATAAGCATTGTTCTTATGCATGAGTCCCCCCCCCCCAAAAAAAATGGCTACCCGGAGTTTTTCCTTTCCACTGTTGCCAAGTGCTTTCTCATAGTGTGATTGTTGGGTTTTCTTTCTATAACTGTCTTTATCGCACAATATAAAACACATTGAGGTGTCTGTTGTTGTGATTTGGTGCTATATGAATAAAACTGAACTGAATTGAATTAAATTATAAATCTAAACTCTACAGGTGGACCTGGGTTTAGCCAAGACAATGCGCGGAGTCATCACCCAGGGAGCGAGGGGAGGAGACGCAGGAAGTGGAGCGGCCACAGATAACCGGGCATTTGTCAGGAAGTACAAAGTGGCACACAGCCTGAATGGGAAAGATTGGAATTTCATCATGGACAGCAAGACTAGCTTACCAAAGGTGGGTCAGGGGAGGCGGGCAGATGAAGAGCGGTGCTCTTGTGTGTTTTTTTTACCAGTTCAGTAACCACTGCAGTGTTGGTTTTTTTTGTGCAGATCTTTGAGGGGAACACACACTATGACACCCCAGAGCTCCGGCATTTCGAGGAGACAGTGGCCCAGTATATCCGACTCTATCCAGAGCGGTGGTCTCCGGCAGGCATTGGGATGAGAGTGGAGATTCTGGGCTGTGACCTTCCAGGTAGGACGCTCGGCCGTGGTCTGTTTGACACAGGATCATTTTATATACATATATGATAATTTGCTGCCTACAGTATTCCAGGCTGAATTATTTGCCCTGCGCTGTAATGAACTCTAACCAGAAGTGAATGGACCTTGAGGAAGGTGGCTCACTAGAAAAGCGAGCCTCACATTAGATATGCATGAGAGTCATTAGAGGATGCCAGAGGTGAAAAGAGACACCCCGTGTGAGCTGAGAAAGGGAAACTGATAGCACCCTTGAAAAGTAATTATTTCTGATTTATTTCTGATATTATTACACCGGGCTTTGTGTTAGGTTGTCTTTAAGTATCCACAAGCACCGTGAGCGGCAGGCAGTGGACAGAGCTTGGTTTAAATGAATGTATCCCCAGAGAGAGAGAGTATTTATCAGTTCACTCTCCAGCGTGGTCTGTTATCCAGATGTGAAAGTGCTGTCGGATCATACGCGCTATCATCAGCACTCACGCACATATGGACCTTCACTGTTTACCACTCCCTCTGTGCCTGAAAAGGACGACTGGGCAGTATAGCTCAACATTTACAACAGCGCTTAAACATGAGTACATATGCATGTTTTGACACACGTTTACCCCACGCGCCACAGGAAACGAGCAAAGTGTTCATGCATGTTCTCTAGACATGTACTTTATTACACAAGCATGTCAAGCTACGCTTTCATTAGGACGATTTATGTGCGTTTGTGCGCTCCCACAAGACCTGATGAAGAGCACAGTTGAAGAGCGATTGTCATTATCGCCTCTACTGCACGTCCAGAGAGCTAACAAAGTAACCACAGAGTCTACAATATAAATGTAAATGTGCACAGGTCTGTTTGCATGTGCCTCGTTGTGCAAAGATGCAGCACCCATATTTTCAATCCATCATTATGTACAGTTAAAAAAAAAATGAACAGAGGGAAGTCCCATGCAGTTTATGATTGCTGCTTAAAGCTTGCTGCTCTAAACACCTGGTCCCTGGTCATTTTATCCTCCCCTGGAGCTCCTCCAGAGCACAGGAAACAATGTGTTTTACATTAGCTGCTGCCTGATGATTGACATGTGGAAAGCAGAGCACAGAAACCAATGAACACTAAACACCAACTTAAAAAATGGGAACAAAATGAAAAAGTATTTTAGGCTTTACCGCTTGACAGAGTTGACTTTCTGAAGATGGAGTGGAGAGTTCGGGGGAAACGTGACACACAGTACTATTGTTAAGGGTCACACATTGTTCACAGACCACCAGAACTCAGCAGGGATGACGGACTACCGCTGACATCCCGTAAATCATTCGCTTCTCCGTCCCCTCTGATTTTTCAGTCGTTCTCTCCAGTCTTCAGCGATGTTCTCGGTTTACTTTTCACCTTATTGTGATTTAAAGTAAGAGGATGAAATTTATCCCCAAATCAACCCCAGCGCACTAAAGCACAATAAGAGCTCTCTCCTTATTCCTCCACATGGTTGCAGTTGTTTCGTTCCCACCCCGAGGCCCAGTGCGTGGGTCTAAAAATGTTTTTTGTTCTTTTTTTTCTTTCTTCGTTTCCATGCCTCCTCTCTTTTCGTCTCCTCCCCTCTGTTACTCATCACTCGCACCTCTTTTCCACGCTCGCTGCTGTTGGTCCTGACTCCTTCAGTTTCCTGCCCCCCCCCCACTGTTGCCACACAACTGACTTGCACACAGATCCTCTACAGTGACTTTTTTTTTTTAGTGTACGTACTCCCAGAATGAAAAATTTATGAGCTCAGGGATGAAATTTTAGAGGGGAAAAAAATCCAGGTAGGCTCATTTCAGTCTTGGGAGCACTGAAAAGTAGAGCTCGCACATGCTCACGCACACACACCTCGAGCTGTCTGTCCTCCCTCCATAATTCGAGTAAACACAGTAGAGCTAGCTTTCAAATGATGATCGCTCTGAACCATTTTTCTCAGTTCGGTCCTATATCATTCCGCCTTTGGAGTAAGCGCATTATCCCAGTGTTTTCACAGCATCCCAGCCTCTGGAATTTTGGCTTCTTTGTTGTTTGTGCTCTTGCATTATTCATGTCATAAGGGAACCCGCCTCCCGTTTGGGGGAGAAAAAAGCAATAACCCTTAACTTAAATGATTAAGTTTTTAAGGTGAAGGCTTGATTTAGCATTAGAGTCCCGCAAGTAGCGATTAGGGCAACTCTCCAGGAAATTAATGCAATCTTTGAAGTGATGGTGCGTCTGTGTGTGTGAGGATGATCCCTGATCTGAGCACTTAACCCCACCCGGCAAAATATCAAATAATGGCTACTTGTCTACCCCATTGTGTTCTTTTGGGGTGTATGTATATCTGCGTGCATGCATCCATCACTCTGTGTGTGTTTGAGTGTATGTGTGTGTGTGCGCGCGTGTGTGTGCACTCAGTACTGCCAGGGAAAGATTTACAGAAAAGCTTTCTACATAATTGAACATTTTTTTCCTCTTCTCTGACATATTGCTGAGTCAGACTCTTTGGAAGTGAGCAATGTCTTTTTTTACAGGGTGGGTTGGCCCTCACGACCGTGTGTGTGTGTTTGGCGACTGCGTGTGCACTGAAAAGCAAGCCCGCAGAAGAATTTGTCTGTGAGCATGTGCATTCGCATATGTGAGCGTGCATCTCGATTATCTATGTCAGCACTGCCCCACCCCCTTCCAGCCGCCTAGGGCCCCCGGTTCTAAGTGTTGGTATCTCATCCCGTGCATGATGATGACTTGCATCATCACCTGCAGCAGCAGACACATTATGTAAGACAACACTCTGCTGCAGAGGGACTGTTCCTGCATTTCAAGGCTCCCTCTCTGCTGTGCAACAAACCCAGCTCTCGCGACACCGTCCTCGCACGCATCAAGGACAGGACTCGGGGCATGGTAGGCAGGTCACATACGTTAACACACATTACCTCCCCCTCGCCTCGCACAAACATACACACCCTGCAAACAGCGCGCAAGTCAGTGCCATTCCCATCGCCCCCCAAAACACTCCTGTCACACCCTGGAAAGGTCAGCACATTTACACTGTGACAAGGCCTGACCTTTGAAAGCATAGAGTACTCAGGAGCTGGGCAGAATCTTAATGGACTCGACTGCGCGCTCTCTGCTTGTGTGTGTTTAGCTGCGGCGCGCGCTCAGGTAATGTGTAGATGGTTTATTTTAACGCCCGCTCCTGAGACTTAACTAGGGGACCCAAAAGGTCAGAATGGAATAAAAAGGCAAACACACACACACAAAAAGCAAAAGACGGCGAGAAGAGCGAACACAAGAGGAGGAATAAAGAGGAGACGCTGAACAAGACGTGGTGGCCCATTTGAAAGTCGGATGGGTGGAAGAGAGGTAGAAGGGTAGAGTTGCTTTCCATGCTTTTGCTTCCCAGTGGACCGGCAGCGATAAGAGTCTCATTAGGTAGTTAATAGCTGGCATAAAGGACGTGACATTAACGCTGGGTTAATGTCAGAAGCAGTCGCCAGCTGTGGCCAGCCTTTTCATCTCTGCCATTTCTCCAGCTGTGGCGCCGTTGCGCTCGTTTCCGCGGGAAGTTCTTTTAAGCAGATCAATTGCGTATTACGGTGTGTTTGTTGCCCTCATTGCTTTTTTCGCAGCCTTTAAATGATAATGGTAGCCTCACAGAAGGAGGAACCTTAACAGCAGGAGGCCTCTAGTACTGCCACTAACAGGCGTTAGACATGCTTAATCCATGTCACGCTTTTTCCTTCTTAGATACTCGTGTGTGTCTGTTCAACCTCCCGTCTCACACACGATCATCAAGCATCCAAGTCTTGGAGTTGTTTAGATGGACTAAATAAGAAAAAGGCAGAGGAAAATGAAATATAATGGGTTTGAGAGTGCACTTAGCCTTTTTTTTAGGAGTCACCGTCGTCAAATGTCTGAATCTATTTGAAGAAAAGAGACAAACAGAAAGAAAAACAAGTTGGCTGACTAAATGTAAATGTGGGAAAACACCTGCATTTTTTATTTTTTTATTATACATCTGGATCTTTGGCTGACCCAAACTCCTGCGTAAATTCCCACAGCTCACCAGGGTCAGCCCATCTGCTCTTAATAACTACGCTTTTATTTTTTCTTCCTACCACTTCACATTCTAGCTGCAGCCTGCTCAACATGTGTGTGTGTGTTTGTGCATTTGACATCTTTTAATGAGCAAACTGCTGGATTATTTATGCCTCTGTGTGTTGTTTGTCTTTCTTTTTGATATATGCGAGATTTAGTTGACGTTAATGGAGGACCGAAAATCATACATTTCACTTTGTGTTTGTTCTCCCTCCTTCCAAGCGCGCATGAGTTATGGAGTGAAGAAGGCCCTCGAATGCACACAGACAAACACGCACAACAGTTCACACAGACAGCAGAGTGGGTGATGGAGTGTGTGTGTCTGTGTGTGCGCGCTTTTAGACCCTTCTTGACAGCGAGAGAGTGGTCCCAGAGTGCGATCATCCCGTCCGAGGTCGAGGGGAGTTTGTTAGACAGAGCCATCCATCAGCCTTAGCGCCAGCCTGTTTTGTGTGTGTGTATTAACATGTGGACATGTGTGCCTGTTCATTTGTGCGTCTGCATATCCGAGCCAGTATGTATGGTAGACAGATTCTGACGCCTGAGCTCCCAGACACAACATGACAAGGGCTCTCTTGGGTTTTCTGTGCCTTCCTCTGACAGGAGACATGAATTAGTACAGTGAGGCGGTTTCAGTACCACGTACGATTTGTAGGCACGTTCTTTGTGCTGAGTTATGATAAAATAACGATAAGGTCATTAACTCAAGCAGCAGCGTTACTGCATTGTCCTGTTAAAGGTGCATGCTAACGAAGACCTTAGCTGTTTTAGCGTAACAAAAATCAACATTCATAAAACAAGAAGTCAAATTTTCCTGCTTCATCTGTGCGACTCTTTTTTGTTTGCTTGGATCAAACAAACTTGTTATTTTGTGTTTCTAATGAGCCAAGTTCACTGTTTCTGTTCTTTGTGCTAATAACTGTCGCTAGCTTACTTTGCTTTCGCCCATTTTTGAAGCCTTTGAGCAATTTTTTCATCACCCTAGCTACGAAACACACTAAATTAAAAAGAAAAACCTTACTTACTTTCTTAGTTACTGCGACGACCCAAACTACGTCTTCTTATCCCGCATTCTTGTTGTCTGCTCTTCTGTGCTGTTTTCTAGACTTTTTATAGCAGCTTATATCAAGAACTCGCTCGGCTGCACTGGCAAGACTTTAAAATTTGCGCTGATGGTAAAAAGCATAATGAACATCCACAAACTAAATAAACATAAGACAGGCACAAGTAATGTCAACAAACATGCGCACATTGATTGCAGATTGAACTTTGAATTGTGACATTTGAATAAAGTATTTGTATAAACCACATAGGTGCCGGCACTCTCAGTGGCATGTCAAAGTTTTATCAAGATTTTTCCGTTCGTCTAGGAGGAGATAGGAATCATACATACATATGCTACTATCATTATATATGATGATGTAAGGGGTGGTTCTGATAGCTACCCCCTAAAAGATGCTCTTCTTTATTGTGTATTTTACTCTTAAATAAGACCATGATTTGCAAAATGAGCATCATGTTCTAATGAAGAAGATATAAAAGTAGTGACTGAGGGCAAAAACTCCTCTCTGCTGTATTAAATCAAGTGAGAAGAGGGGTCATTTTCCCATAGCCATCTATATAATCTTACTCCTTTCTGACCTCCTGCTGAGTGTCAAGAAGACTCCATGACCTGAATGGCTTTCACTTTTTACACCCGGAGACTACCTTTATCTTTTGCATAGTCTATGATCTATGGAGGCACAATGGAGAGTTATTATTAAAGACTTCATTTCCGTCTTGTTGTTTTTTTGCCTTTGTGAGTTTATCATTTCCTCTTTCCCGTTTGTATTTCCTGGCCCTCCCTAATGTGCAGCTCCCAAAGGACATATCGCCACATAAATAATGTCTTTAACAAACAGCAGTTCATTTTGCTGCCCTCTTTACAGTAATACATTGTCTGAAGTTGGCTTTAAGGGGCCACCTTTGACCCAAGTTTCATTATGTTTGTTCCTGCAGAAACCTCAACCCCAGCAGGCACCACCACACCCACGCTGCCAGCTGACGTCGAAACCACCACGGTCCCTGTCACGACTACAGGTGAGACAGGTGTTTAATATGAAAGAGCCAAAGAAATGCTGGATTAATAGCGTCATTAGGAAGCTGTAATAAGAAAGATGAAAGGCCTGAGAAAGCGCTGCATGACATTATGTAGATCAGCTGCAAATGCTCCTGTATCTGAAATGACTTTGATTTCTCACGCCTATCTGCCCTTTGGCTCTCGTTCTTACGCTGCCTTTTTCTCCCTGGCTGCTCTCCACCTCTACAGCGGCCACCTCTCCCCCATCAGACGCCGTGTGTGAGTTCGACCACGGCCTGTGTGGGTGGACGCACGACCCCAACGCCCCGCTGCTCTGGTCCCTGCACAGCAACGGTGAGTCTCCTTAACAGAAATGTGAATATTTGGTCCGACTCCCTCAGTGTTTTTCCTCTGCACAGCATGCATTTAATAGATCTGAAGTTATGTCCGGATGGATTTACAGAACAGTGCAGTTAGCAGCTCAGGTTCACTACGGGAACCCCATTTTCTTTTCTTTTTTCCTTTTTTTTTACTGTGGGGTATCAGCTTTTATGTATGCAGCTTCAAGCAGACTTCTATTTGGGTGCAGAAATTGCACAAGCATGCCGTTTATTCCATCAACTTCCTCGGGTCTAGACAAGACTGCATTTTCTATAATTAAATGGAGTCATTCTCCTTCTGAATCTTCATTGAGTCCCCCCTTTTTCAATTTGATTAAAATAATTCCTTAAATTGAAACCAGTCTAATTTGTCAGCGACGCCGTGCGCCAGCCACGCCGCTCTTTCCGAGTGAATGAGAATGAAAATGAACTGAGGGAATCAGAGGGAGAACAGCCTCCACGGAAAGCGCACACAGCCTCGCATGTGACATGCAGCGGCTCACCTCTGTGTGTCAGAATGAAGTGTCGGCAGGAAGGGGTTAAGACCGAGCGGCTCCAATTAAGTTCAGAGCAGGAGATTCCAAAGACGAGCGGTTATCCCCAGTCGTCCTTTACTGCCCCGCAATTACCTCAGGCACGTCCCACATGATGCTGTGTAGACTTCCATTTACTTAGGCATTCCTTGAAGAAATAATTATTCATTTTCCTCTTACGCATACCCACAGATCAAAAGTCCAGCATTTGGCAGGTTGTTAAAAGGTACAGAAGAGGTTTCCTGCTGGGTTTCTTTTTTTTGCACTATTTATAATTTTTCAGGGTAAGGGATCGTTATCCCAAGATTGTTTTAAAATTCATTGGTCTCGAGCAAGTCTCCATGAAAGATTTAGCATTTCTGCAGCTGGAGAAAATTAAACAAGAGGTCCAGTCTCCCTCCCCCTACACACACACACACACACACACCCAACCTGCTTCAGTGATGTCACCTCGGTCATGTTCAGGAGGACAGCAGATCTCGTAGCAAAAAGGAGGAAATGTTCTTGAAGCGTGACCTCTTCAGGTCATAAAAAATCTATGACGGGGGGGGGCTTCAAAGCGGCTTCTTTCATTAGACAGGCCGTGGTGGCTTTCATGCCTGAAGTATCATTTCCAGCCATTTTGACACGCCGCCCGAGCCTTTGATTTTCCCACGGGGGTCAAAGGTCACGATATCCCAGCCAGCCTGCAGGATCTTTATTTCGCCCCTATCAAATCACTGTTGTAATCCTCTACAGAATTCCCTCACCTCTCCCAGAAACCACAAACTCATCACCTCTTGACCTCACACCTGACACCAGTCATAGTAACAGTAATAACACACAATCCTAGAAATAGCCACCATCTACTCTAATAGTAAATCAGACTTCCTAGTTTATCATGCTAGTACCAGTGTGATAAACTGGGCTTTGTAGACTGAATCATTGTTTTCCTCATGCCAGCAGCAGACCTCTGTGAAATAGATTAATAATGCTCTCTTTTTGCTGTGTCCGGCGTGGCAGCCTCGATTATGAAGCGTCTGCTGAACAAGAGGCACAACAATGGACGGGGGGGGGGCAACAGACTCCACTTCAGTGCGAGTCGATGAGAATGGAGGAAGCTTTGGTGCGCACATTGAAATAAGTCATAAAGAGACCTGATTTCACATCCTCTCCAGTTGTATGCATATATATATGCATATATATATGCATATATATATATATATATATATATATATATATATATATATATATATTTCCTACAGTGACACATACACATTCATTCAAAGCTGCAGAGGGCCAAGGGACACACTGTCACACGCTGTCTTAGGTGTCACACACAGGCGACTGCGACACATGGCGGGCAGAGGGGAGCTGTCAACTAGGAAGAAGATTTATCCCCCCCAGATACTTCCAGTGTGATCTGCTGGACACACGGAGCAAAAAAAGGCTCACTCACTTAGTCACTCAGCAAACCTGAGTGCGGTGGCAGTGGATGCTACTGCACGCCGATTGAAACTTCTTACTCTTGTGGTAGTTTTTCTCTCGCCTATAAAACAGAAAGGCGCTTAATTGCTGGAACACATATACACACAGGCACCAACACACACAGACACACACACAGTTGTTCTTGATAAAGCAGGTGATTTAATCTGCAGATTGTTGATATTGGACTCTTTCCCACCGGGCCCACTTAAGAAATTCCTCAGCAGACACCTCACCGAGCCGCTCTCTCACACGTACGCGGGCATGCACAATGCAATCTGTGCTTCTCGTTCACACAGGCAGTCACTCATACATGCGGTCTCTCACAATGGAATTCGTGTCGCTTTCCAATTTGCAAACTAAACATCCTCTGGTGTAAACAAGTGGAGGGGGATGCATTTCTGTTGGACTTTTCCGTTGGTTAAGTCATTTACCTGAAAGGGAATGAAGAAAAAAACGCCTCAAGGGTCTTGGCTGGAGTTCTGCTAGCACTCAGTGTATGAACGACGCTCTCAGTGGACCTATTCTTCTCTGTGTTTATATTTGTCACATCCCTATTGTTTGGTATGACTATTGTGCTGTGGTGATCCCATTCCTGTTAGCAACTGGTGATTAGTGTCTTGGGTTTTTTTTTTTTTTTTGAACAGTCATGTTGGAAATGTCTAACCGTGTGAAAAGCCATTATGTACATGTGTGCATGTCTATATATGTGTCTAAGTCATGATTAACGACGATAATTCTCTCACTGTACGCACACACGATTCCCTTGTGTATGCGCTCCGTGTTTGCCGCACAGACTAACTGCAGCAGCATCCATTTACAGTGAATATCAAAAGTCTACACAACCATTCATTTTCTCATTTTTTTATTGCCTCGAGGCCTGAATGAAAATCCATTAAATCAGACTTCTGTTTATTTATTTTTTTCATTTTCATTTGACTGCAGTAACCAGCGAACCCAAGGTTAAAACAAAACCCTGCTCACTTTCGGTAATGTGGAGAGAATGCAGAAAGGGCTCAGTTTCACATTTTTGCTGTGAAATTGCTGTGAACAGGAATGTGCATGTGGCAACTTTTATATCACATTTTGGTCCGAGTTAGAAAAATTCATGCTCTATCTTTTCTCATATCTCTTTCCCTTCCAGAGCTCAACAGCTATCTGTACATAGACGCAAGCCTAAAGACTGAGCAGCAGCGAGCTCGGCTCTTGAGCCCCGTGTTGACCGCCGACACTGGGCCCCTGTGTCTAGTCTTCTCTTACCAGATATCGGGGGAGGCCCAGGGCCATCTCAGGGTCCTGGTACAGGACGCCCACTTTGAAGAGACGGTCCTGTGGACACTAACAGACGATCAGGGCCCCGTCTGGAAGGAGGGTCGGACCATACTACCTCGATCTCCTAAAAGCGTCCAGGTAGTGGTTAAACTCTGTGTGCTCATAAAATAAATACTTAAAAAGAAGGCAATTGGGAGATGAAAGAATCAAGCTTCTTACCAGTATTATTGAGTTATATATGAATCAGGCTTTGTAAGCTTGAGTTAGACATTTTAATTACATGCTACCCAGAAAGGGAAAACATTTCTGTTGTAGTTTTATTAGAGTAGGCTGTTAATATTTTCAATCTTAAACACCCCCAAAGCTACA